ATAAAATACCAGTTGTACCGGACTTTGACCCCTCTAGGCATTGACACGAGGACGAGGACACGACTATTATCGCATCGCAATAAACATAATTCAAACTTATTATATCTATTAATCTTTTAAATTCATGTAATATATTAATAAATAATTATTATAGAAAGTCCAAGGGTCTAAGATGACCCCTTGATAAAGTGCGACGCGACGCAAACCTTTTGGATGAAATCGTCATATTTTTATGTTAGGGAAGTATTCCTTTCGACATGATTTACTACTGTTTGATTACTCGCCTTTATCGATAAGGTGTTTACAATTTACGTAGTAATCCTAAAGAATTTACAACCTTTATTTTAATCTTTTACTTTGTACTGATGAAATAAAAGTCACAAATCCTTGGCAAAGGTCAAGTTTAGACTACTTCAAAAAAATCAACGTAAATAGTCAGCTCATTGCAGAAAGCAACCTTCACGCTAATTGCAATCTGTGCAATAGCTATTAATGGATTTTCTAATTTCATCTCTCTAATATAATTTGTACTTGAAACTCTACAATGATACACATAATTAGACGAGCAATTACTGTCTCGCCTCTCGTATATAAGATAACTTTGAATGATAAACGTTACTAATGAGCGAAGGTCGTCTACATGTAAAGTAAACAATAAGACACTTCATTTTTAATCCCAAAAAAAATTAAAATAAAAAAGAAAAATACAATTAAAGAATCCGCAAATAAATAAGAGAGCTTACCTTCAAAAATTCGCACCCGAATATAAACAAAGATGGGAAAAGAAAACACGTCCACACGATCCGGCTGCCGGCACGCAACTAAAGATTTGTAGGGTTTTGTGAAACTATAGATACAGGTCATAGCGACCTCTAAACAGGCTTATCAGCTAGGTTCAATGGCAATAAACGGCTGGTGATATCTCTTACGTAATTAGGATACTGAAAACGTGATCGTCTGGAGTAGGGACTCTGTCTGGATTAATGGACTTTGGATTACCCATCTGTCAGCGTCAGATTTCAGTGGAACTAGTAGCTCTAAATGATGTTTGTTAATTTTTTGGGATATTATAACATTGTAATACATCATAGAGTGTGTGATTGTTTTATAATGAGTTTAATAAAATAGAGCAAGTAGATGTAATAGCCAGACGGGAATCTTTTCTACTGGGTTGGCCTAAATTACAAATTACTTAAAATAGGCATGCAATTGAACTTTATATTAATTATTAATAACAAAAACGAAACGATAACAGATCTCTTTCTTTATAAAAAGTAAGGAAATAATATAAGGTTTGAAACTTTGAATGATCATAAATGATGTTCAATGAAAAGTCTAATAAAATGACAACAGCAAGAAACGATACGTTACAATTACAAGTTATAGGTCCTTTAATATTATTCCATTCAGAAAATGATGGAGGACCATTAAAAGAATATAATGAGGAGACAGTGCCAGGGGAATGTTGGACAGAAATAGCATAACGTACACGTAGTGGACACATGGGACTGCACGAATATATTTTTGTGCAGACATGTGTAAACGTTGGCACTGGAGCTTTCCTTAATAGTTGTTGCAAGCATCTATTTGTTTTGTTATTTGTTATTAGGTCTCTGTTCGATGAGTGACATGTTGATGAAAACAGAGGAAAAGTTCGTAAAATTTGGACGAAAATAGTCTTCGGAAGATAGATTAGCTGAAATGCAGTTTTGACGTTTAAAAAGTGTCTGAATGTAGATAAATTGAAATAAATGCTTTATCTTTGACTGTGCATGCTAAAGAGCCGAGGAGTTCATTGTAGAATTACATTTACATGTGTTCATTCCAGTAGAGTGCAGTACGAATTACAAAGATCGATAATATTGTGCAAAGAACAGAGTAAAATTATAGGTTTCTATAAGTGTTTTTTTCTAAAAATGTAGGGATTAGGGAAAGAATAACCTGACACAATATTTTAAGAAGATAATTATGAAGAAGAAGACTATTAGATAATTGACGAAAATACTGAATGAATTTCGTAATCATAGAATTTGCAGAGTTGACTTTCAATGAATAGTTGGCATTATGCCCAAAATAGATCACGAGAAAGGGAGATATCACGCGCTTATTGTTAGAATGATCAAATTATGGCATGCATTTAACTCCATTGCACGTGCTGTGGACCCAAGGTTGACAACATTGTAAACAAATTATGTTAAACAATTGCAGTACTTGCCATTTTCAGTGCAAAGTTTAGTTTCTCGAATAAAGATTACGATGAAAATGAATTTTCATTGCTTTGAAACATGCACTGCTATTCAGCTGTGCGGCTGATATGGAATCTAGTAAAGATTATTATTGCAGATATAACTGAGATAACGGTAGTGTAGGGACACTCCCCTAAAATAGGATTTAATAGTAATTCTTTTTGAATTTGGTGATTCTAATTTTATTCAACCGTATGTTTGAATGATTATTAACGCTATTAGAGACGGCGATACACCGGCTTAAAAAAATTTCGGGTATTTTTTTTTGTAACATGTATGTGTTTTTTATGTTACAACTTTCGTGAAATGTCTTTTGTGTATGTGTTTGATAGCCTACACGAAATTACCTTATCCAATTTATTAGACGATCTTTAGGAATACGAATTAGTCTTGTATAGGCGTAATGTGACGTAACGAATGCAAATGTCCACAGTTACTGTAAAGATGTATCAATAGTTTATACACACAATTAGTTGTAATTAATTAATATGTATGCGACTTCGCACAGTTTCCTTTTAACCTGCTACAATAGCTGTTATCGAGGAAATAATAATTATCCTTCAATTATGTGTTTTATTACTATTAAGGCAATACGGTTCAAGTGAAGTTAGACAGGACATTTGGCGACGGCAGACGAAGTAAGTACATCTATTTGACCGAATGTTGGCCAAAAAGGAACTAAGGTCGTCCAAAAATCGTCAAAATAATAGGTAACAGATGGTTGAGAGACGCACAAAACTGAGCAGTTTTACAAAAAAGTAAAAAGGAGGAGGCCTTTGACTCACCTTTCACCTTTAAGCAATGGGTGAAGCTCGGATGAATTGATTAGATATACCTACATAGATAACATATAGGTACATTGTTTTCTTATTAATTTAAATAACCTTGTCAAGCTGTTAATTCCGCCAATTTTCCTGAATGTCCAGGCAAAAGAACAATTTCGCATACCCAATATTGAGAATCTGGTTAGCATAATACTCTGTTCGACTTCTATGTCAAGGTTAGACAAAAATGACTGTAACAGAAAACTCTGTTTTCTTCTTCTTAAACTTCAACTGCAGCATCACCTGGACTGGTTTCAGTGCAATACAACTTGTCTGTTACGAAGTGGTATAGTGGTGCACAAAATAGTCACACTGCACTAGTACTAATACTTAACAAGGAATAGACATACGCTGGTACATTAGTCACGTGATGCGCGTACGCATTCATGGGAAAAACCTCGTTTTATGATATAAACAAAACCAGCAGCTGTTTAAATTGAACAATACCCAATTAATACAAATGATAATATTTTTACAACTGTTTGTTCATAATAGTGTTGATGTTAGGTAAGTAGGTAACTACGAGGTTCTTCAAATATCTATTTGATACAATAATATACGTTTATATTTATTATGACGCTAAAGGAAAAAGTCAATGTGAAACTTACAAACCTTGATCTGGTTACAATGAATGAAATGAACATATACGTAAGTACCTGCCTACCTATAACATATACATAAATCAACCTTTGCTCATATTTTTTAACCATACAAGTAGCACAGTTAAACCAATGCACTTCAATTTTAAACTTTATCTCGTTTTGATAAAGACGTTATTTGGTCGAGTTTAAATAGAGAAGGTTAAATTCTTCAAGGATGCATGCATGGGTCAGAATTTTAAAGGCTTATGGTAGTAAATAAATAATAAATGTACAAATTTTTTTTTTCGTTTCATTTTCTTAAATGATGTTATTTCTACTGAATTCTTATTAAAAAATTCAGAAATCACTTTAGAACAAGTTATTTATTATAAAAAAAAGTATTTATCGTAAAATGGAAGTGTCTGACAATATGAGAGATGCAATTTGAAAAAACCGATAAATAAATAATATTTAAAAAACAATGCTTAAAAAACAACCGGTAATTAATTTTAAAAAATATGTTTCACAAAAAACATTTATGTTTCAGCTGCAAAATTAATCAACATCAACAATCAAAAACTATAATTGATTAATTAGTTTTACTTCATTAAAATGCGCAGGTATTAAATTACACAGTTTGTTTTAATAAATACTTGTTATGAACTGCAAGATAAAACAATAAAAATAAAACATAGCTTGCCACTTACCGGTTATGTGGATTTATAGTAGACGTAATGAATTTAGTTTCGTGTTTTATTTTTAAAATTATGCACGCGTGAGTTTTAAAAACGATTACACAAGTTGAACTTGACGAGGTGACAGTTGAACTGAATGAAAATGAATGATTTACTAGTGATGCCCTCCGATTCGTTTAAGAAAATGAATGAAGTGCCAAGACGGCTTTCATTGTAGTTTTATTGATAAATAAATTATAACACAACAAACAACATAATATTATAAAGTGAATAGATTTTAGAATAGTAGATTTACATCTTTTGAATAACTTTACAGATTGTGGTTTAAAAATATGTCAATTGAGAAGTGAAATATAATTTATAGCGAATAAAATAGTAGTAACAGGTTATCATATTACCGTTATTTCTTTCATGTTGTCACAATGACAACACTACTCTGCCTCAGTTTATAATTTATTTTTTTAATCTGTGCTGTCTGTGCTGATGGAAAATCAACATTATCAAAACTTTGTTTATTTTGTGTTAAAAAGATAACAATAAAGCCTAATTATTATTCAATCATATCTACTTTAGTTTAAATATTGTAGTTTCTTATACACTGACAACAATACATATACAATAATATATTATACGCAAAAGTGTTGTTTTGCTGCAATGGCCTCCGAGTCTGAACTAAATATTAATAAAAACGTCCATGATACAAACACAAAGAACTTATATGCTTGTTGTCGCACTTGTTTGAGAGATGTTCAAGGCGATGATAATATGTATGATGTATTTCAAAGCGGACCACATCAATTTGATATACCTAGAATAATATTTTTGTGTACTACAATAGAGGTAAGAGATCTAGTTTTAGGAACGTTAACTCCGCGATGTCGCTGTTGTTGTATGGTGTTTTTTAAACAACAATTTGTTTTTAGATCAGTCAAAGAGACCCCCTGCCAAAGAAAATATGTTACAGTTGCTACAGCTTCCTATTAAACTATCATGAATTTAGAGATACCGCTATATTTGCGGAACAGCAACTGCAAGAACATATAATCAAAACTGTTCTTATAAAATCGGAAGAAAACCATGTTGGAATAGAAGTCAAAGGGGAACATAGTCAACAACAAAGTGAAAATTTAAATTTAAGTTTGGATGATAATAATTTAGATTCTGAAATGACAGTGAAAGAGGAACCAAATCCGTACTCAAATATTTCAGCTTTAAGTTCAAATTTACCAGATGTTAGACAACCCGAAGAACAACAATCCAACTACATGGTGTCGTGTGATGTTTGTGAAAAAGACTTCACGTCACTTCAGAAATTACAAAAACATAAAAAGCGACATGATAAAAGATACTCTTGTATTGTTTGTTCTGAATCATTTAATTACAATTTTAAGTATATGGAACACATGCTCACACATAGGCCTACTGTAGATAAACCATCTGATGTTGAAACAAGTTCGGATATGAATGCTGAAACAAGTTCTGAAATGAATGCTGAAACAAGTACTGAAATAAACCACAACAGTGTACAAACACAGACGCTCAAATGTGACATTTGTTCAGAAACATTCAGATCCGTTAACTCTCTATCGGCACATAAAAGAAAACACACTCCGAAAGACAGAGTGCTCTGTTGTTCAATATGTGGCCTTGTTTTCAAAAAGCTGTCTCATTTAAAACGGCATGAGCAGAGTCACAGTAACAACAAGCCATATAAATGTACTACGTGTCAGAAGTCTTATGGAACGGAATCAGCGTTTTCTGATCATATGAATAAGCATAAAGGAATAATGCCTCACTGCTGTCCAGTATGTATGAAGTCCTTCACTCATCTCTCAAGTTTAAAAACCCATATAAGAGTTCATACTAAAAGAAGGCCTTATTTATGTCCTACTTGCGGGAAGACATTTGACTCGAGTACTAATTTGAATCAGCACCTGAATAGACATAAGGGTTTGAAATCATTTGCTTGTAACTTGTGTCCTAGGAAGTTTGTCAGTAAAGGTAAGTTTATTTATCATTCGATTCCTGGATTTGGTACCCTTGTTGTTGTCAATGTTCAAATTCTTAGCAGTAGCATAGATTCAAGGATACTGCCTAGTGTATGCCGATAGCCTGTCAGGAATCAGAAATAATTAGTGTCCTCTCATTTTTGATGGGTTTGACAGTATTAACTATAAAGTGTGTGTTAAATTATTAATAAAAATATTGTAAAATTATTAAACAATTTAATAAAAAAACATTTTTGTGTATTTGTCAACTGTCAACGATAGTGATCTTCTCCGTGTGAGAAGATGTCTTTGATGAGTCGTGAGCACTCATAGGCTGGTTGTTGTGAGGATGATGTTGTAATAGTTGTAAATAAATCACCCTGGAATTTAACCATTTCAGGCGAGTTAAAATCCCATGTGGTAACCCACACTGGTGTGAAGTCATATAAGTGTGACGAATGCAACTCATCATTTACTAAGAACAGCTCTTTAACCACACACAAGCTCCGACACTTGGGCATCAAGCGCTACCAATGTGATGCTTGTCCTATGAAGTAAGTATTTTAAATGTTATCTATTGCTAGAAACCTGTAATTGGTTCTGTTTATAAAAAGTATCTTGTCAAAATTGTATAGCTGTTGAGTTTCCCGAGGGTCAAATATTTTTCTCCTTTTTTGTTACCTGCCATCGGCTTATAATAACTATCATTAGGCATACTGAATTACCTAAAAATAAAAAGAAGTCTCTCTGTAACCAGAAACTATTAGAGCTTTTCTCACTATATATACGTGGGTAAATCGCAATTTTTATTTAATTCATATTTAGATGATTTGTAGAAAGTAATACAATTTTAATTTCTAATAAATAAATTATTAATGTGAGTACTGCATGGTACCAAAATAGTTTTCATTTTTAATTCTATTTGTATTTAATGTAATGATTATTTATGTTATTTCACAATTCTAAGCAAGATAACGTAATAGTAGTTTCTAGTTAATCTATTAATTATAATTGTTAATTGCCAATTCCATTAAAGTGAAATCTGATAATAAGAAAACTAGTGTTTAACAGGTAATGCCATCTCGTGACAGAAAGTGGAACTACTTACTAGCTAATGAGCCGAGTTGCCGTTAGATGGCGTTGTTTACAACACTTTATGACTTGCTTTACAAGAATATTATTTTTTGTAATACAGGTTTACATGCAAAGATCATTTGAAGAGACACAATAGAATACATACAGGAGAGAGGCCCTACAAATGTGACTTATGCGATCGTGCGTTTACTCAGAGCAATGACTTGGTCAAACATAAGCGTTCACACCTCGGCAATAATTTGTACAAGTAAGTTCAACATTTTTCTTTATTGTTAACACGTGTCGAGTATTGTATGTTAATGTAAATCTTATCGTAGTAACGATTTATTGAAGAATTCTTACAATGGTTTAAATGCTGTAATTGATCATTTTATTATTTTATAGAATAAACTAGCTTCTGCCCGCGACTTCGTACGCGCAATCCCATTTTCCCACCGTTCCCGTTCGTGATCTTAGGTAAAAAGTAAAAAAAAGTATTGTATAAAAAGTATCCTATGTCCGTCTCCTGGTTCTAAGCTACCTTCCTGCCAATTTTCTTTTATATATATACACGACTTTCTTTTATATATATAGATATTTTATTATTGTAAGTATGAATATGGATATGACTGTGAAGCAAGGGGACTCAGATTCGATTCCTGAATCGGACAAACTTATTATCATTTGGTGAATGAACGTTTTACAATATAATCCTTAACTCTTCTGCCAGGCTTAGAAATTATAGTTACTGACTATTGATGGCGATGATGACGTAGCGGCAATTTGTCAGCCAGTCGCTGGAAGATTCAGTCCAATGTCTCTTGATCACCATTTTTTGGAAGATCCATAATAACCTGTACATTATATTTCTTTACAGATGCGTAGAATGCACACAAAGCTTCAGACTTCTATCAGAACTTCGACAACACACGTCAGAGCACTTCCTATCTGCACGACTTGAAGCACTGAAGTTTACTAACACAGACAATAACAGTCAGCCAGTTGGCAATAGTCAGCCAGTCGTCGTGAGTCAGGCAATCGTCATAAGTCAGCCAGTCGACGTAAGTCAGCCAGTTGACATAAGTCAGCCAGTTGAAATAAGTCAGCCAGTTGGCAATAACGATTCCATAACCGTACTACCTCAAAAACAAGGTCATGATATTGGTGACAAGAGTGAACTATGAATAAGGAACCATAATTTTTTTCAAAGTCCATCTTCGGCCATTTCATATCTGTAGACTCGTTATAATTGATGAGAGCCCCTCCAAAATGTTATCTCTGTGCTCTACCCACCCACTGTTACCTACTACTAAACTTTAATTTGTTTTATTAATGTATTCAGTTCTTGTCATTTGATAAAATATGCGTATTAGTCCACATTCGCTCGAGAATTATTTTAACGCGCATTAAAAAGCGTTCAAATAGAATAAATGCCTCGACTAGTGTATGTAAGTACGTCTAGCGCTTTTAAAACGCTACGCTTCGTGCAAATGGACTCTTTTTCTTTTTTCTTTGGCCTGATGGACTAAATTGATGGTTCCTTTTCATATGCCTATTATTATTATGAGACTTTGAAGTGAGCCTAAATAGGAAAGATGACATTTTTTAGTAGGTTAAGTAATAAAATAAAAAAAAAGAAAAAAAATACTGGTCTTATTTGATTATAGTTTTATTGGTATATTTTTTCGTAATCGTTTTGAGGTATATTATTTCGGGTGAGGGATTTTTAAATTTAAAACTATATTTTTTAATTGTAATTAAATATGGAACTCAAAATTATTATTTAGAGTCTACGTGATAGGGATTGAGAATTAAAGACAGTACTAAAATTATGATTGGATAAATTATTATGTTTTCAGATTACTCACGGAATAATTTGACGAGGAACTCGACTGACAGTCGCCTCGACAGTCGCCGCGTCGCGGGTCGCGAAAAGCTGCTCATGAATATGAGCCTCTAGCATGGCTTGAAACTAGTCGAGTTCCTCGTCAAATTATTACGTGAGTAAGCCGAAAACATAATAATTTATTTAGTATGTCTCACGAAAGTTACAATACAAATTATGATAGGATTTAAGAAATAACGTCAAATTCAATAAGGATCAAAATTGCTTACACATCATAGCATCCTGATCATATAATGGTTCACCATTCCACGGTAACTAACCAATTAACGTGCGCCCGAATACTAATGGCTACTCAATTACAGAGGCTACAGAAATACAGACTAGCAAATAATTCCACTTCCTTAGCAGTACGCATACGGAAGCTTGATGCGAAGCGCTTCGTGCGTGTGGGTCGGTGACGCTTCGCCTGTTGTCTAGTGGTACTCTATTTTAAGTCGCGTTTAAGTATAGTCCTATTACTGCAAATTCTTTGTAGAATTGGTGTTAAAAAAACGACAAGTCTCCATTAAGATCGTTTCTGTCAAAAGGTGGGCAACGCACACAACGCCGGCCTATCCATAAAAAATGTAATTTTATGTGCAAGCATGTAATAATAAGTAAATAAGTTGAAAATATTCCATTTTGGTTTAACTTTTCGATGTACGACTGTAAGCACACAACATCATTTGAAAGTTATATAGAACTGAGTAATTTTAATTCGACTTATGTAAGTAGGACTTATCGAAAATTAAAAAAAAGTATAGTCTTATTTTTGTTATTAATTATTTGACGGATTTAATAAGCGTTTGTGTTTGGCTGTCATCTTTCCTTATTGGCTCATAATTGACTGATATTTATTTTAATATTATCATAATGATAAGTTAGCATAGGTTCTCATATTATTCATTCATTAAAATTAGTATGCTTGGGTAGATCAGTGCCGATAACTTTCGAAACCAAATCTGATACTACTACCATAAAGCATGTTTGTTTGTTTGAACGCGCTAATCTCCGAAACTACCAGTCCAATTTCAATCATTATTTTTGTGTTGGATAGTCCATTTATCGAGGAAGGGTATGGGCTATAAAACATCACGCTGCGATCTATAGGAGCCGAGTAGAGCGGGTGCAACCGCGCGGATATAGCTAGTTACAGATAATTATGTTATAAACTACGTTAAAAAATCTGACTTCAGCTCCATCTTTGTTGGAAGTCGGTTGATTAACATACTAAAACCTTCTCCTAGATGTAGTATTCTTAATTCTCGCACAAACGTTCATACAGCTCAAACTGAGAAACTCCCGGCTTTTTTTTAAGTGTTAACCGACTTCGTCAACCGCGCCGTGTAGGTCACCAGTGACCTACATTAGCGGAGGATTTGCCTTCAACAGTTTTCTGCCGGCAGTCAAAGACTTAAAAATATAATGTCACTAGCTTTTACCCGCGGCTTCACTCGCGTCACAAAAGGATAAAAAGTAGCTTATGTGATATATACCAATACACACAGCGCCATCTATACCAATACTTTTGTTTTCCCTCGGGAGTATTATTATTGTTTCCGGGATAAAAAGTACCCTATTATTTAATCCGGACTTCTAACTTTACGTCTGCAAAAATTCAAAGTAATCGGTTTAGTAGTTACGGCGTGAAAACGGAACAAACAAACAAACAAACTCACTTTCTGATTTATAATATTAGTAAGGATAACATCTGGTAAGATGTGCCCTATATTCGAGTATCTAAAAATAAATGTTACTATAATCTCATCAATCGATTTAATTTTAAGTATTCGTATTTTTATATCTAGAATAAAATAAGTAGGTTAGGTCGACCCAAATAGTCTGCGACATCACAGTTCAATAAACTCATACAAAATTCATAAGTTACTTATTTTGAAGAAGCACTGAATTAAAATTAACTTTGTCAAAATATCAATTTCTTCAACTTGTGTTTCTACAATGCATTTTCAGCTTAATTACCATACGTAAAGGTTGTAAATCTATAATACAAATTACCAAGTTTGCCTAAGCTAATGTAACCAATATAAGAACTAAGTAATATTAATATTATAAATACAAAAACTCGAAAGTCAAAGTCAAAATCATTTATTTCAATTTGACCAAGAAGGCACTTTTGTACATCAAATCAAAATAATTAAATATTAAATAAAAATTGTCAGTCTGTAGGTCAGTCCTTTAGTGAAGCTATTTGCTCGTTCCAAAGTTCCTATGGAGAAGAACGAGGAAGAAACTCCATAGGTTACTCTTTAACTAAAATATAATTGTAATTGTCACATTTTAGTTTTTAATAATTTGTATTTATAATATAATTATTACTTAGTTCTTATTATTTTAGCATTTACAACAAAAATAAATATTAAGTTCTTACCAATTTATATGTTTGTAAGATAATGATTAAGATATACTGAAAGAAACTCAATGTAGTAATTATCTTGAAATATTTTTAAGAAACCATTTTCACCTCTTGAATGCATCGATAAGAGATACAATAAAAACACATTGTATCTCACGTGGGTCCGCGTTTTAGACGCACAAAAGGTTAATGAATGCAAAAGTAAAATATATACGTATATAATAATAATTGATAATAATCATTATTTATGTGTGAATGTAGAATGCATAGAAAATAGTAAAAACAATGCCTTAGCCACCGTAATCTGTTCCTAAATATCGTAGCTAATAATATTGTATTTGGTCGCCTAAAACTGCTATATTCAGAGTCGAACTAGGCTTGAGGCGTCCGGTTGGTATCAGCTCGGAGGCCACGAAACCGTGAAGCGAATATAAATATTTATTTGTTTTTGTTTCGTACACTTTTTCGTATTTTACATATCGCACCTACGATGCAATATCGTCACTTATATGCAATTTTTGTCAAAACTTAACTGATTATGAAAGAATAAGTACTCCAAATTAGCCTCTTTACTTGGTGCGTTATTGTCATTTGTGTAGTACGCAAACTGTCCTCGTGAGGACATCACTGTCGTTAGGGTTTTGGCGCGATTCTGGACGGCACTGGGAGAAACAACGTTTCATTGTTCAGTTGCGCGCGGACTCCCGCAATATATAAGTGACGTTATAGCACCGGAGGTACGATATAACAAGAAGTCACATTTATTTTTTGATTAGCAACTTTGATGATATCACGTCAGGTCCATTGGGGGTCCCATATGCTATTAGAGCCCTACAGGCTACAGCCCAGCCCGGCCACTATCGCCAACTCGACCACTTTACGGCCAGTTCGACACTGAAAACAAATAATCAGACGCATAAATATATAATAATATTTTTATATTGGACTGTTACTCCCAAAGATCAGCTCATATAGCTATGGAAGCTTTATTATTTTTATACCTACATGACGATGTACCTAGGTATGTATAAGTGTATTCATTAAATTTCAAGTTTGTGTATCAAGATTTGTAACGAAATATAATATTATTATACTTTTAGTTAAGATAGTAGTTTTAGTTGTAAGTACAATAGGGTATTATCTCAATAAAATGATTATATTTTCAATTTTTTATATATTGGATTAAATTCACAGGCCATGCTAGCCCGACGCATCTTGCGTCTGCGATGAGCGGTATAAACAGTCCTACGCGAACAGAGGCCGCCATGTTTGTGCGACTAGCGACCTCCTTCGACCCGCGTGAATATTTTTCCGCTCATCGCAAACTTAAGACGCGTCGCGCTAATGTGTTCTGCAATTTAGTAAAGACACTTTCATTAAACGATTTAATTATTTTAATGTTATTTTAGTATTACTTTAATACCACTAATCCAAAAATATTGCTATTTTGACGTCACAATGTGGAATCTCATACGGAATCCAGATAAATATCGTTTTGTCATTTTAAAAATAGTACTGAATTTGATTGTCTGCAAAATACCCTATTATAACTATGTATTATGATATTTTATGTTCTTGAATACATTATTTTAACACCCAATTGTGTCTTATTTTTATGGAAAAGCAAATTACTTGCCTTCCCATAGATACCAGACTGTTTCAAACTTCAATCGCTCAGCCAGGGACTAGTACTAAAAGCCATATATTTTTTCTTCCTTTTTTCAAATTGCGGTACTCGAGTCGCTGCTATGAATTGTTGATATTATGGCGAATCCCCATTAAACGGAGGGAAAGTACTGCTTCTTGAAAGAAACGCATTAGTGATTTCTCTGGGTGCGGGCGTTCGTGGACGGCGCTCATTGCGTACCATCAGGCGATCCATCATCTGCGATCCATGCATAAGCAGTTGTAGTTAGCAGCAGCAG